CGCAGGGACGCAGGGGGTGGACATTTACTAGAGCACGAGGATAATCACGTTGTGTAAGTTTAGCAACAATTACTGGCATCTATCCACGCAATTTTTGACTCCACACCCAATTCGGTTTCCACAAAAGGTATTTTCCAAATGTGGAAAATATTTGCGTTTAATAATTTTTATTTATTTTTATTATTCATTGTTAATTGAAATGCAAAAATGTTAAGTGTTTTTCAAATAAAATAATTAAAAAAATTGTTTTGAAAAAATTTTTTATTTGCTTGCCGTGTGAGTAAACAGCGTTTTGCTTTATTCAGAAAATGAAACTCACACGTTTTCATGAAGTCCAAATTTTAATATTAAAATAACAATTAAGTTTTTTTTAAATGTTTATTTTTATTTTTATTTCAATTTTTATTTTAGTTTTAATTTTTTTCTGAACTTCTCACAATACTGAAATTTCATTACAAAATATGTTGCAGGATCAACTTCATTCCGTCGCGTGAAATTCAAATAAAATTTACTGAAAAAATTTTGAATGGCGTGTTTTTTATGGCCTTGCGGATTCACAGTTTTATATTTCTTCGTTTTTCACTTTCAAAGCGTTTTTATTTTTTAATAAATCATTTTCAGATATTTTTTACCTCCGCTGTTTACGTGTGAACCTTGCTTTCATTTTCATATATCATTCGAGATGGAATTATGCAAATTTAATATGAGAAATGTATTTCAGGCATTATTATTTTTATTTTTACATAATTGACGTAAATGCCGTTTTGTTAAATTTAACTTTTCTATTTGTAATACGAAAAGGTATAAAATATTAAAAAATTTTAAAATTATTCAGATTAGTAAAATATTAAAAAATAAATGTCAAGGATATGTTTGCAATAAGTGAAGTTTTCGCATGAATTTCAAATGCAAAGTACATAAAAATATAAAACAGTAATCCCCCCTATAACGCGTTTTCATTTACGCGTTTGCAATCCCCCCTATAACACGGGCATTCCCCCATATAACGTTGGGATTTGTACAGTTCATAATTACCTTTGCATGCTTTTACAAGTGTGTATACGGGGTATATGGGAATATGCCTATAACGCGTTTTCCTATAACGCGGAACCTAAATTAGGTTTAACTTGTTTAAGTCTAAAAATTATTCAAGAAGTTGAGTAAGTAAATATTCTTTCAGCATTTATTTTAGAATTTATTATTTATGAAGATTAATATCAAAATAGTACCTACATGAGTCCACAACTACCTTCTAATTGCGTCTCCCAAACATCTTAGTACAACTAAAAACTTGATTTGCGGTGAATAATATTCTCTACTTAATAATTATCCCATACTCTACACATAATCTCATAGTTGACGATATTTAAGTAATAACCTAGATTGAATGATAACAACAATTTTTGCAAAAAAATAAGTTTTTTAACTAATAAAAATAAACATCACTATTACTACTCTTTAGATATTGTTGGCAACTGTCTGCATCAAAATATATAGAGAATAATCATAATTGTAGAGATATATTATATTTTTTTATGTTTATTATCTATACTCTGTAGTCTACTCTCTATAATCCACTCTTTATACTTTCTCTCTCCCTCTCTCTCTCTCTGTCTCTCTACTTTTTCTATCTATACTTTCCCTATACATTTTTAACTCATACAAAGAGATATCCCAAGTGTGTTAACATCATTCTTGTAATCATTAACCTTCATTTTTACATTGAGGTTACATGAAGTAGTACACAAAGAACGGTCGATGCTGTCTCCACTCTCTAAGTCATCCGCAATATCTCATAAATGGGTAGGTTATTAACCGTACGATTAAAAACAACATTTATATATCATTACGATATTCCTACTTAACTATGCAAGAATTTACTATATCCCTGTACTAGACATTTTATGCAGTCTACAAATACTTTCATCAATCTGTTAAATATAATACTCTATAGAGTAAATGTTAAATAATTTGTATTTAGCTATATTTGTATGTTATGTATACAGTACATATGTATGTATGAAATTAATACAAAAAAGTTATTAAATATGCACTGACAGGAACAGTATTTACTTCATTATAATAATTGTTATGAAATTGATTAAAAATTTGTACTAAAATTTGTGGAGCTTAATCTTGGTTGTGCAAACTTCATATTTACTTACACACATTCTCTTTGTTTGTACTATTGATTCACCACCAATGTCTCACATCACGAGGGTACCGATGCCATGGGTACATCTTGGCTTTGTGCGCTTATTGTGGATATGTCTAGCTTTAAACGGTGTCAACAGTTCGACCATTGTCGATATCTCACAAACGGTTTGACTACTTACCACACAACTAAAAAGAATAATGTCTTATCATTGTACCTACTGTCTAATGCCTAAAGTTGAGCCTTTTCCGAGTTATGCATCTGGGCACTTTTGCTCTTTGATAGCTGGGGGGTTTCTACAGAGTCTCAACCATCTCGCTGAGTAATTCGTGTATTCCTCATAAGCTTCGTACAAGAAAATTTAGTGTATTGCACAACTTTTCTCAAATTAGATTAAACTCAAATATACATTTCATCAGCACTTATTATCAAACACTGCTTGCAAAAGAATATTTAATAGATAGATTATATTTTAAAGTATTTACAGTAATAAATATATTTAACAGGAAAAACCTATTCCATTTTAAAACTTAATAGAATTTATTAAATCTGAAGATTATAACGTAATAATCATTTTAATTTATATAGTACTCGGAAAAAGAGACTAAAGAGAAGTAAAGAATTATAAAATACAAAATAAAAATGATAGACACGATTTCGATTTGTCGAGTACACTGATTTACCAAGTGATTCTAATTGAATCAGCTATTTAGAGCAAGTTTTTTCTCGAAGTATCAAGGTTTAAACATTGATTGCGCTAATATAAAAACTACACCAACCATCTAGCCCGAATAAAAATATCCAATTTCTACATTTACATTAATAACACAAACGATAACGCCTCCTGTTAACATTTCCTACTTCTGTATTGACATATAACATAGTAGAAAAAGTTGTTCAACATATGTGTCTATGCCTAATATACAGTATATATTGCTAAAACCTGGTAACGAAAATATCATACACATACAATCAACTTTAAAGAATATTCGTGAATAATATCTTAAGATCAGTATTAGTTTAAGTGTTGATATCGAATACTGAAATTCGTTACGTCAATGAAAAGAATTTCATTGAAAGACTAATGTATCTAAATAAGCTAACACACTTTAACTTTACACGTAAAAGCTAAAAAAATCTGTAGGTCTATAATTTTTACTTATTACTTATATAGAGTAATGTCCTGCGTAATATATGTAATATAGGTCACGTCGTGCCACCCAGAGGCGAGGACGACTCACGCCTTTAATGGCCAACTAATTAAGTAAGTAATAAATATTCAGGATGGATATTAATACGACCTCAGGGACATATCCCAAATGAAATACATATGGAAATGTGAGTTCCTAATGGGACACTATTTTATTTTCTGAAGAAAATACAGTCAACAAAAAAGGAAGAAAGTTAACTCAACTATAGTTGAGTTTTGAACTATCAGATCCAAAATTTGTATACATTTAGCACTGTTTTGTAAATATTTTGATCAACTATTCTTTATTAATAATACTATGTAATAGAAAGTAGACCCTACTCGTCTTGCTAATTTCTAGGAGAGCAACCAACTAACTAATGCTTTCAAAAACATAGAAGAGGATTTTGCTTAAAAAATATATCGCAATATGAACTAGTAGAACATATGGTAGGTTAGGTTAGGTTTAAACAGCAATCTTACATACCTAAGCCCACTGAAACACAAATACCAGTGATGTGAAATCGTTGTAATACCAGAGATAAGACCCTACTGGTGAAAAGACTATAAAACATAGTTTTCTTCTTTGCAGAGCCGCATCAAAACTCATTATAGTTCAGACCAAGTCTCCTTACATATTTTCTTAATACGCAGTAATGTATCAGCACTAATACAGTAATAGGTTAAGTAGCAGTTATATAGTATGTATGTGTATACCAAAATTATATATTTAAGGAACTAGAAAGTACAGCAACAGCAAAAGCATTCGAATCTTGGAAAATATTAATTACAATTTAATACAAAATAATAATTAACATTAAAATAAGATAATATAATAATAATAAATAATATAAAGACAATAAATTTGTGACATATAACAAATATCTAAGAGACTTGAAAGTACTAGTAGCAGTAACACTAGACTCTTGGATAATATTAATTATAATAACAAAATAATAATTATAAAAATTACAAGATAATGATAAGATAAAAAATCAAACTAATGCAATTTCGTTAATATGATCAAGATATAAGAAAGATAGTTTATGATAAGATAAAATATTGCAGATGTCGAGAAAGATATACTCTAAATGGTTTCTTCATTCAGCACACTTCTAATAAGACATTTCGTAAATGGTCCTGCAGATCTGTGAAATATTGAGGATATTTGGCTATCTTATCTTTGCTTGACCTACATAGTAACTTTCTGCCTTGGATTTCTTTCACCCGAGTACAAAATTCTTGAACCAAGAGGTTTATGTTATTATTGTAACCGGCTAGAATCAGGAAAACAGATAGATAACATGAAAGAATTTACACAACGAATACATTGGTTAGGATGTGAATAGATCAATAGGTTTATCAATAGCCTTACTTTGTAGATAAAACCTTTCTTCATGGATCGCAAATGAATCTAATAAGTCGCGGTTTACATACCACTGTTAATTATAATAACAGTACTAAATCAGATCAGGTACAAAGATACTAAATATTACTGTGAACAAGTTCTCTCTTTATACATGTAACTAACGTTTTAAAAAGTCTGTATCAGTTTTAATGCTAGACTTATGGAATAGTTACAGTTATACAGATCCTATACAAAGAATTCTTACAATACTGCACAATAAATTGAATTAGAATATAACTTAAACTTACCTTTTTGCGCCTTCCTCGCCCTCAGCATGTTCACCACCGGCTGCAGCATTAGCATCCTGTTCTAGTGTAGCACCACCGGCAGTAACTGTCGCATCAGCAGCGCTTGCATCCTGTGTTGGTGCTGACGCATCCTCATCAGTTTGGCCACCTTTAACGGCACCAACTAATGAGGTAAACTGATTTGTTAAACCGGAGAACATGTCCGTTTGATTATTTGATTTGAAAGTTGTTAGTTTTTTTTTTCTCTAACTGCTGTCTTTAATCAAATTGTTGCTACTTTTGCTGTGGTTTTGTATTTTAGCGTTTTTGTCTATTTTGCACAAGTTTTTGAATCAATGAATATGTTTGTATGTCAGTGTACGTGCGTAAAAGATTTTGCAGACACAAACTCTAAGAGGAAGGCAATGTTCAACGTTCAACGTGTTTCTGTACAGATATTCGAATTGAAAGAGTACTGGGGACAACTGCGACGATACAGAAAAAAGGGGTTAGAGATTTTTTTTAAATCGCGTGCAGCACAGAATTGCTTCACTCGTGTTTTTCGTTATTTGGTTGATTTTGTGGAAAATTGCTTTGCAGAATTCGAATTCTTTTAGAATTTTCGTTTTGATATTTTTTTTTCAAAAACTTAACACTTCACTGAAATACGAGATGCTTTTATTTTATAATTGCAGGAAAAAAATGATGAAATTTTAAGTAAAAGTAAGAAATGCACAAATAGAAAAATCGAATAAATCAGAAAAATCAATATACGTTTTAGAATGTGAAAAATTCAGTTAAGATTTTAAAATAAAAATAAAATAAAAGCAGCTTTTGTGTTGTGACACGTTTGAAAAATAGCAAAAATTATTGCAAAAAACTAAGTTTTAACACGCAATTAATTTGGTACTGAGTTTTGTGGTTTCGTTTATTTTAAAAAATGTTTGCTATGAAGTTTACCACTTCCTAAAATTTCCAATTTGAATTGAAATTATTTAACAAAACTTCGTGTGCTTTTTTGGCTTCCAACTGTGATGAAGGTCCTATGAAAACTAACTGTAAAAGGAATTGATTTTAGAATAAAAGGTGCTCTGTTATTTACGAACTTACTGCTGCTGCGCTATGCAGACAAATTACTCAGTATACGTTTTACCAATATTAAGTCTGCAAAAGAATAGAAAATCTGTTTTGTAACCTTCATCACCCACTTTTCAGTCTAATTTTCCTAAAGAAATCCTCACGTACATATTTTAAAGAGCTTTACATTTTCAATGATGTGTCGGAATTTGAATTCTCTTACTTACGCTAGACCTGCGCAATATAAAAATTAGTGTATGTTATGACTTGCAATTATTTATTTAATAATTATTGCTCAATATTTTAAGACAAAGTCACACTTTAATCAGTCATTTCACTTTTTATATATTTCAGTTGATGTTTATCAATCTAATCACACAAACTTCTTATTTGTTTTCTGTTCTAACTTTTTTTTTCAGTGATGTGTCAAATCTACAGTACAAATGAAAAGATGCCTCGTGATGTGTTTGCAAATTTCTTTTCGATGTTCGGACTTATTGTAATGTATTTATAAAATTTTAGTCCGTGTGCGAGTTGGAGTAAATTGCAATGCACTTATGTAAATATATATATATTGAACTTATTTATTATTTTTAGTTAAAAGTTTTTAAATTTATTTATTTAACACCTTATAAAACTTTTATAATGGTCACATCTAATTTACCTAATTTTTATGTAATTTATTATTATTATGTTGTATTAACTGCGAGGTTTCTTCAAAACCCCTCTTTGCGTTTTGACTGAATTATTATTTATCACTTCATCAGACTAAGCAATAATTGACCTCAGATCTGCATACCTCCCCGAGGAGCCTGTAACCATTCTGAGATTTGATAACGCGGTGTTGGTAAGTTTGTCAGATTTCGCAAATAATTTATCCTACTCGAAATTCTGGTAAATACCAACATTTGCTGCCATACCGACATAATATCCTATTTCCCTTAATTTACCATCAATTTACTCGAACTTGCACACGAAGTTATTGTAACAAAATTTTTAAGAAACAAATTCTTAATATTTATTAAAATTTGCATTTCTTTAAATAAATGTATAATGCACATGTTACAATTCATTATTTTTTTCAATTAAATGTAACAATATGTGTATTTTATTATATTAGTGATATACATAGTACCTATGTATATAAAGGTATATCCACACCAAAAGGTGCAACCACACCAAAGTGAACGCTTGCGAACAAACGAACTTCGCAGATAATGGTATCTGCAAAAGTTCGTTCATAAGCAAACAGTATATTCACACTGTCTTAATTAGGGACTTGCTCATTTAAATCAATGAGTGAACGTTCACATTATGATGAGCTTATTTATGCAGCTGATAGAACTCTTATAAACTTTACTTAAAATATCTCAAAAAAAATTTATTATATTTTTTATATATAAAATCATTTATATACATTTTATATATAAGATTACAAATTCAATTAATAAAAACAAAGATTTTATTAAATATTTACTTTCTCAGTGCATTTGATACAGTTCAACTATTGTTTGTTTACATTTTATATTTAAAACATATGATACATAAATCAAATTTTGATAATTACTCTTCGGAGAAATTTATTTTTAGGGTTGCATTCGACATTTTTTGATCCAAATGAGCTGATTTATTAATAATGAGCTTACTAATATGAAATATTTTTGTATAGTAAATCATCCTAAGTAGTGGCTATAATGAGAAAACTGGCTAAATAAGACAGTGTGAATGTGCTATATGATACAATAAAATTTTTACATGTATTAATTTTATTTTATATATTTCTTTTTAAATAAATAAATTTAAAAATTTGAATATATCATAAATATTTTCATATTCAAATGAAAAAGTCAAATTTGTGTTAAATCGAGACTTATGTGCGTAGTATGAAATTGATATTAAGCGTTTACACTTCAACTTTTAGAGATTTGGGAACAGCAAAACAAAACAGAAGGCAAGTCATTTTTTGTTTTAACTTGCTTCTGAATATTATACGCCACCATATATTTTTATTGTTTAATTTCGAAAAAATAACAAAACATATACAATTTTCGCAAATTTATTTTGAATATATTAAACAAAACAGATTTCAGATAAGAGAATATAAGTATATGCACTGCTTCAATTATGCTTGAGTGTATTCAACATTTATTTATTTCCTTTTTGTTTCTATTTAAACTTGTACAATGAGTCACATCGTCACAGAAATTTTTCTAAACAGCTAACGGACTTATAAAATAAGTTCAATAAGCATATTTTGAATATCTATGTATGGATATTGTATAAGAAATATAAATATATCCATTGTACATCCTTATCAAGATAAGCCCGAAAACGAATTAAATACGATAGTCTAAACATATAAAATAAGATAGAATTTAAATATATTGTTCCAGTTTTGGATGTTTTTCTCTGACTGAAGTATTCACTGTTTCTTCTGTTTTTAAGCAATTTATAACGAGATTTATTTACTAGTTCATTTTATATAAAACAAAACTCTTAGATGGCTTTAAAATAACTCTTAAATTGTTTATCTGACTTAAGACAAACAATTTAATAAAATTGCTTATCTGGCTTAAGACAAATAAATAAATTTAATAATGTAGTGTCTGTCTATCTTATACCTCAGTAAGAGTTTTTGCAGAACTTCTTTTTATTAAGAAGCATATTGAGTTATTACAATATTATTTAAATGGTTTTTACAATGAAATCATCAAGAAGATAAGAAAATAATAATTCACAGGATATTGTCTTACTCTGCTCTATATATGTGTATTGTAAAAGCGGCATTTAATTTTATTTTTTTTTAATTAAAAATTAATTTTGTTCTAGGACCAGAAATCTATTTCGAATAGAAATATCTTCTAGCAATACTATGTAGATTAATAAATTATAAATTTATAAATAAATTATCACTTAATTACTCTTAGAACAATTGAGGGTTTTAATAAGGAAGGATTTACTTATGTAGACTTTAAAAAACAACAATTTAGAATTATTTTATGTAATTAAAACCAAGCTATTTTAAATATGTTTTAATAACAAAATAGTAGATTAGTGTAGAATGGAAACTACATAAATTTGGTATTCAATAAAAATCATATTATAGCTAATGCGCCACTATGTTAGGTCGTGTGCGAGTTAGGCTAAGTTGCGTTCTAAATGAGGGAAATTCTAAGTTGTGTCGATAATGTATTGATGTGTTGATACGTGTTGATAAATGGCAAAATGTGTGCAGTACAAAAAATCTCCCATTTGGTTTAGCATCAACTTAGCCTAACTCGCACACGACCTTAAAAAGGTTTTGAACACCAGTGAATTGCAACAAAAATTTTTTTTTTCATTTCATTTTAAATATATATACTATACTCTTAACCTTAACCTTAACTTGCACTAACAAATAATAGATTTTTAAAAATAGTTTCTTTAATGACATTAAATATTATCATATTCAATCATAAAATCTATAATTTTTGCAATTTATAGTTGCAATAGGAACTCCATGAGCTACAATTTTCTTGTAACATAAATGTAAAATTATTTCTTCATTAATCGAAACTTCATTTTATAGTTTATAGTTAGATTAAATCCAAATAGAGATAGGATCACAATTTAAAAACATTTAATTTAAATGAGCCGATAGTAATATTACAGCAATAAATTGATTATAATATATCTTAATAGAGTATTTAGACATAGCTATGGATATATTTAGTTTTTAACCAATACATCTAATGCAATAATAAGAAGAAATGATTCTGATAGGTAAAGTATAAACATTAACGCATAAATACATTAGAATTTTACTTTAACACTAGAATTATTTCATGACATGTCGACTAATGATGAAGAATGGTTAACTAAAGTTAGTGTTAATCCGCACTATGTGTTTACACATCTGTCAGTTATATGCAATTCTCACTCTCTTATGTGCGATAATGTTGACACTAAACATTTTATAATAAAAAAATATAACTTTAAATAAAATTCAAACTGAAATTGCAAATTTAACATCATGTATATTTCACAAATATATAAGAAAACTAATCATTCAGCAGTTCGTAAGCTCTTCAATGAAGCACGTGTAATTTCGAAATTTTAACAAAAGTATACCTTTCTCTTCGAATCGTTTGCTAAGCACCACTAGAAAAGTGTATCCTTGTCAGTTTCATTTGTTAAATTTTGGTATTAATTTAAATATTCTATTATACAACTAAATCACTAAATTGGCTAGATTTCATCGTTTGTCCGTTGGATCTTCTTTCTGCCTGCTAGAGTCTTTTAAATTTTGTAATTCTGCATCGATACGTTCTTTCGCCCGGAAAACTTTCGATTGCAGATAGAATGAACCACCATTTGATTTTTCATTTACTTTGAAAAGATGTTCATAATTTTTTACAATGTCTTCCAAGTTTTTCAAGTCATTAACATTTAAAATTTGTTTTGCTTCCTCAAGTGTCATGCCTGCATTCAAAATGTTATAATAGTATTTTACTTAAAATGACAGAAACTTATATTACCCGTCCTCGCATTTGTTTCTGCTCTTTTTCTGCCCTCTCGGCCACCACCTCCACGCCTTGCGGCTTCCTGTGATACAGCAAATTCCTGTCGTAAAGCTTTGGCAAAGGCTTTACCAATTGCCTGTCCGCCGAGCACGATGATTTGTGCTAAGTATTTAGCCATTTTCTGAGGTAGTTTTCGAAACTGACAAGTGTTATAGGTGCTCGGAATTATTATATAATTTATAATTTTGTTTTATTTTCTGTACAATTTTGTTCATTTAAATAAAATATTAATTTTAGCACAATTATAAATACTGTGCGTTACAATCACTTGTTTTTGACATTACACAATTTAATTTCTTAACCTAAAAAACAATATGACGGCAGTGTTGTATTTTCAAAAAATAAAATTTTAAATTTTAAGAACATATGTTTTACGAAAATTATTATGAACCGATAAAATTATATTTTTGTTTATTTAATTTTTTATAATGTTATATACAAAAAATTTATAAATAAATATACAACAGAAAAAAAATGTTCAACAATGTAGTATACTATAATAGTTGCTAGCAAATTTTTGTATATATCATACCAGAGCTCTTCACATTTTTATTTTGCCTATAAACTCGTGATAATTGGGCGAAGTTGTAACATGAGGTAAATTGCTAAATAATAATTAAACTATATAATTTACCTATTAACTATTTGAAGCATTTAACTGTTTGACTAGTTATATAACTATTTGAAGTTATAAACAAAAAAAATTTTTTGTGACTATTTTTGTGTACAATAACAAATAACACACGTATTTGATTGAAATGTCAAAATAAATAAAATTATGTGTTAATATGGCAATTACATCTGAGTCGGTAGTATGTATTTAACATATAGCATATTTTGATTTTTTTATACGCAAAACTTAGCACAAATTTAACATTTTAACTATTTAGCATAAGTATTGCATGTCTAAATTATGTAGATTGAAATTTGTTACATTATTTTGTTATAAATAATATTAATTTCAATGTTAAGAAAAATTTAATTCAATTTTATATTATATTAAATTTGTTAAATTAAAAAATAATTGTTTTAAATGTGTATACATTTAAATAAAAATTTAAATATTATGGTTCGTTAAATTAGTACACATACATATATGCATATGAATAATAGTAGTGAATCACATGTATATATATATATATATATATATATATATATATATATAAATTTAAATATTATAGTTCATTAAATTAATATACATACATACATATATACATTTGAATAATAGTTATTAGATAAGTAAAAATAAATTGTTAATCTTATGTATATAGGTATATATATATCTAATAACTTTTATTCATATGTATATATGTATGTATGTATATTAATTTAATGAACTATAATATTTAAATTTTTATTTAAATGTATACACATTTAAAATTATTGGACTTTGCTTTAAGAATTTTCAAGGGTGAAATTTATACGTTCAACATATGATGAAATTAAGGACAACATTTTGCATTAAAAACAAATTCTACACACAAAAATATTATTATAAAGCAGAAATTAAAAAATTTTATTTTTGGGGAGAAATTTAATTTTATTTAATATACCATTAAGTTATTGAGTGATTTAGTAATTTAATTACATTATGCACATATAATTTATAAGTTATATGTGTTTATTCGTTCTTTGCTAATGTTAATAAATTATTAAAATTTGAATTTGTTTCTTTTGAATATATAATATATTAAAAAATATTAAACAAATGTTTAATTTAAATTTTAATAAAAAGGTGACCTGTAGCTGGGTATAAAAATTATAAAAAACGTTATTAACTTAGTGTAAACACTTAAAACTAATTAAGCAAAATTTGACGAATCAATGTGATATATGATAGTTGTTAAAATTCAGTCTGATGTATGGCAGAATTGCTTTAAATAATGATATGACAATCATTAAACATTGCACACTGTAAATATTAAATTGTTAAAAGACTAATACTAATACGAACAGGTAGCAAATAGATCGACTTGTGGTAAATATGACCAAGACGGACTGATTTCATTTGGTTTTATTCGCAATTTTTTACTTACAGCGTGGTGTTATCGAGGTACATATTTAGTTTTACTCATCCTCTACTTGGATTATTATCATTGGATTTTTATTCGTACCCATTAAACTGCCTTCGTAAGTGTAATGTCAACTGTATACAGGGGTAGAAATGGTAATGCTACGTTAAGGTAATCCAGATTTTATGAGCTTTGAGTAAAAAAAATGATCTCAGAAATATATAAGTAATTAATTGGTAAATTATACTTTACTTTGTGGAAAATACATATGTGTCTTCGTTTACTCAATAGAGCTACGCTTTTGGCGAAAAGTACATTGCTGATCAGGGATAAATCTTTGATCCTTGCTTTAATATGTTTCAGATATAATATTTCCATTATTTTCGATAGTAACGGAATAAGACTTATTAGACCATACGACCTAACATATTCAAGGCGTTTATGTAATTTAAGTATCATAGATATTTGTAATAGTTTCAAAAAAAACACTTAACTCCTCTATTGTGGCTATGATTTCAGTAAAAAAATATTTTTTAATTGAAAGTGTTAGTTGGTACGGTTTAGTTAAAATAGTTGATTCTACCAAAAATTGTTGCCAAATAAGCGTATCTGGGAAATCGGATTCCCTATTTTAAGTTGAGTTACAATAACAAAACTTAAATTTAAAAATAATATTTTTAAAAATATTTGATTTTTGTTAATTTCAAATACATAATTTCATAATTAAATATTTCTAAAATTAAACGCAACAAATATTAAATTTAATTTATTCACTTTAATTTATTCTTTTGTATTATATTAATATAATTATATTATTTAATTTTTATATTAATTAAAATAATAATTTATGGTAAAACACAACAAGGACCTAAAATTAAACTAATTTTATTTAAAATCAATATAAATTATTTTGCATAAAACTAATACTATTCTTATATACATTATTTAAAAAATCCTGCCAAAAATAAGAACTTTGCACATATACGCATTATATCTCCAATATATTTAATAATTATATTAAAAAATCGTTTAACTAATTCCTTTCATAAAAATACTAACTACAAATTAAGTTTCAACTATTGCCTCTCAAAATCAATTTTCTAGTTTAAAAAATGTACAATATTTCTTATCAGTATCAATAAGTAACTTTTCTAAATCTTAACAAAATCCTGGATTTGTGTGCTCAATTATACAACGTTTGCAATATTTTTTAACTGCTCTATAACCTTCAATTGATATCTGACAATCCTGTATATTCAGTTGTTGTAAACCACGGCAGTAGTAAGCGATGCATTGTACGCCACGATCAGTTATCATATCACAATTTCGTAAACTCAACTTCTTCAGATTGGGACAGCTTTCCGCCAATGCACGTAGACCAGCATCACTAACATCGCATTTACCAATATCCAGTGCACGCAGACGTGGACATGATCTGGCGAGCACTGTAATGGAATCGTCGCTAACTGCCTCACAGCCTCGTGCATTCAAGTAACGTAGTTTATAACAACGTCTCGCTATTACTTTTAGTCCCGCATCGGAGACTCTATCACATTTCGCCACAGAGAGATAACGTAACGCAGCGCCCAATTTTGCTAGTTCGTAGAGACCGAAATCAGTTATATTTACACAGTCCGATACGCTCAGCTCTTTTAGAGCTATACAAAAACTTGGCACATACTTCAGACCCGCATCTTTTTAAAAAAATTATTATGTAAGATATTGAGATAAACTTTTAAACTTTTTCATTTTATCTTACCTGTTATTTGTATGCATCTTCTTAGATACAAATATATAAGCTGAGGACAGTTTTTTACCACTATTTTAAGACCCACGTCATCAATGGCTATACAATCTGTTAAGTCTAAATATTGCAGTAGCAATCTACGAGTTGGCTCCAGGTTAGGGTTTGGACTAATGCTATTTACTTGACTGCAACCTAAATAATTATAGAAATAAATAAAATTGTTGTATCTAGATGTGAAGGACTTCACTAAAGTTATAAACCTACCTGTTACATCAAGGTGCTGCAAATTGGTGCATTTGGTGAGTACATCTATCATGGCTTGATTTGATATACATCCACACATTTGCAATTGCAGATGCGTTAATTCTGGACAACGTCGTGTTAGCAGTTGTAGACCTTTATCTGATATTCTACAGCCGTCTGCAAGTAAAACGCGTTCAACTTCCATGCAAGAACCATTTCGGCTTTGTCCGCATAGTTTACGAAATATCATTTTAAGTGTTTTGTCACCATTTAGGTGTTCACCTTTCAGGGAAATAACTTTCCAAAGTATGGGTTTCCAGGCTAGCTGTTCGAAACGTCGACATGCTCTTGCTACTTTACACAATTCACAACTATCGAACCAACTAAATATTTTAATTATAGCTTCATCAGGCAAGCGATCAAATAGTGGACCAGAACGATAGGGACCTTTTTTACCCCATGGCGGTGGACCTGCTTCTAAGTGTCTACGTGCTGTTGCGGCAGTTAAAGCTACATTCGGTTGATGGTGTACTATGCTATGTGTGGTTATGGTATTTGGATGATGGCCTGTTGGTGAAGGTGAGACTAAAGTTGCATAACCTTGGTCTAGACTAGGTGAAAAGCGTCCTAAATTACAAAGACCATCTGAGAGACTTTTCACTTTTCCATGGTGAAAACGTTGATCCAAAGCTAAATTTGATGATGAAGTAGTATTATTTGAATTAGAAAAGTGATCCAAATGATTTGAGGAGCTAAATGCATTAGAAGGCGAACTTGTCCGATTTAATAAATAACGATCCGAACCACTAGTTTCGCTTGGACTTGAAGCTCGATGATGTATTAAGTGACCTTCTGCAAATAATATACAAATAAGTGTTGTGAATGATATTAAACTTTTTTTCAACTCACCTGTTATTCTATCATTACCACTATAATCACACATATTCCGTAGACCATCTTCTAAATAGTAGCGTTCATTTTGAAAGTGATTCGCTTCTGAACCCAAAGGTAAACCACGCATACCACTTCTCAAATATAAAGCATCCATTTTATTTTCTAAATAATATTGATTATTACGTGCGCAATTGCTGGAAACAGTGGGCACACTGCAACGTCCACCTTGATGTCGACGTATGCGTACATCTCCAACAGCAGCATCACTAGAGTCTTCTGTGTCTGCATTATTGCCGGGCAACAAATACGCACTCGGCGTGCGTTCATGTCGTCCGTATTGCAGTAAATGCTCCAAAGCTAAAAAGTTCTTATGCTGCGCTTGTGTTGAGCGTTGTTGATGAGCACTACGTCCCACAGATGCTGAAGACATTGCAGCGCATATGCCATTGTTGGCACTAAAACCATGTCGTCCACGCAACTCGAAGGTTGCTGCTTTATGCGGGACGGGTAAAGCTTGTTCTAGTGAACTGTGCGAAGAACTACGTGAGAGTTGATACATTTCAGGCAGTACATGATTACGTTGTGCCGCCGCTGCCGCTGCTGCAGCATCTTCTTCCATATTCGTAATTTCATTTATAAGACCATCCACTGTATCGCCTTGCTGTGATACTGAGGAAGTGTATATGATATCATCTGTGTCAATACTCAAATCAGGTGATTTCCGTGACATTTGATATATTTGTGGATCTAGTGGACTCGAACTAAGTGGATGATGATAAGGTGGTGGATGATGACCTGTTAGCGAGTCCAAAACTGCATTGCTGTTACGGCCTAATGAAGCTAATGGACATTCTAGGCTTGTTGGCGCAACAACAGGTGCGCGACGTGTTGCTTGATGTGACATACTACTTTCTGCTTAATGTTTACCCCATATAAATCTGAAATTTAAAAAACAGAAAAATTAAAGATTTGTGTTTAATGTATTTTAAGATATATAGAGAAAGATATCGGTCAAGTGTGAGAGAAAGAAAATATAAAAATTTTAAAGTTTTATGCATAAACTTTAAGAAAATATGCATAAGAAAATATATATAACTGAGTTTGAAATTGATTTTATAAGATATATATAGCAGCACTATCTACAAATTAGGTTAAATTGTAGCTTTGTTACTAAATACAAATCTTTTATACAGATTATTAATAACACAATTCGTCTACATTTGTAAAAAACTAGGTATTTACTAGTGGCTAAATACTCAGCTATATGAATAGACTATATAGTCGGTTTAATTGATGTTCTTCGGGTTATACGCTTAACTTTAATCTAATCCTCATTTTCTTATTCAATTAGCTTCTCATAATTTCAACGAGGATATTAGCAAACCGAAGCAGTTACCTTATGTACTTCCGTTTAAAATAGTGATCAAATTATCAAGAGTTTCGCAGGGCATCACACGGATATTGTCACCGTTGTGTTATACTTCAAGAACTTTATTGATTTTTGAAGAAGTATTTCTGCTTTAAAGTAATTTAGTAAAATGTTTTGAAGTCTATACATATATATGTATAAATATAAGTCAAAAGATATTTAGAGGAACAATATAGGATCTATTTGGTGGAAATTTGCTTAATACTTCTTTGGTTGTCAATTTATTAGTTCCAGAATGTGTTCATGTAGGATTTTACTAAATTGTGAAAAACGCTAAAGCAAGTGTAATCTTACATTAACAGCTACAGATCTATTTAAATATTTTTACTATGAGATGTTCATTTCATGTATAAGAGTTTGCATCACTGAGTCTGCTTCTTAGGTAAAATTCGACTGGTAGCTTGTCGATACAAGGTGACATTATAAAATTTTAAATAAATCCCTTTTTAGTAACTTTATCATGAGACCTCCGTTCAGTGTATAGGAGATTGTTTTCGTCTAGAGTCTGCTATATACCTATAACATTCGATCGACTGGTTGTCGATACCCGCTGCATTTTCGACATAGTCCGAAAGTGACGTGCCCGTGATACTCTACATACCATAGCCCTTACTGCAAAATTATTTTGACAGAATAGTAGAAATAAATATTAGATAGAGATCTACTATTACAGTATCGCTAATTCGCAAAAGTGCTTTCTGTAGGCTATAAGTACTTTCATCTATTTTGTTCGCAATTCATACATTATTTGTGCAGACAAACATTTATTTATTATAAAATTAAAAATTTGAATAGTATATTTCATGACCACTAATACTGTATCTTCAAGTGGTCAATTTTATTAATCCAAGTTGCGTTAATCAGTTGTGTTAATCGGTTGCATTAACCGATTACGATTTTAATGAATGTCAGTACGTTTTTTGGTTTTGCATTATTCTATATGTTATAAGGGAATCAAGTCTATCTGGAGGATAATTAGCTTTGCTGCTGCTCAATTTAGGGTATTTACAACGAAAGTGTTCAACAACTATTTCACATTTTCTTCTTCTTCTAAATGCTTTATCTGCTTCGAATAATAATAATAATTTTGTTTTATTCATAAATTTGCGCAAAAGCGACCTTGTATTTTATTGAGCCACTATCGTGTAGATTTATAGACCTTTGTATCCTTCGGCTTCCAAGGCCATGTTTCCGTTCTCTTCTGGTAGCAATGATTAACTTAAGTGCACCATATTTTTCTGGGGGTCTTAAGATATGACTGAATGACTGAATTATTCCAGTTTTCCCAGCCTTTTTTTATTATTGTGCCGCTTCCGTTCGCATAACATTCTTTGTTAGTGTAAGGAGATCATTTAGCTTGAGGTTGGCTGCCAAATCATTATCAATCCAATTGTGTCCTAAAACAGTCATCCGTCAGTCCTCGCTGTCCTATTGTCTACCCATTATTTTGTCGAGATGTTACCTCAGACGGCAATACCTTGTCATCCCAAAAGGTAATGAATTTTCGTTCAACCAAAACAAAAATGATTCCATTTTATGGTAATTTTTCATTTTAAATTCAAATTTGACAACAATTTTCGAATGATTTGCATAATTTGTAAAATGCAATTCAGAGCAAAGAAACTCTAAAAAATAAGCATATTTTTTTCCACATTTTCTGTAAAGTTATGAAGATAGATGTGCCTAAAATATGAACGATGGCAGCGAAAGATTGAATCATAAGTCAGGCATTTTTAGCGGAAGCAGCGAACTGTTGTGCCAAAGTCATTTACGCATTTAATCTTCCATGAGGAAGACAGAAAGCAGATCGAACCCATTTAGCTGAAATTTCTTTGCTCTTGTTATGAAGTGGTAAAGACTACAATTTTGCCTGTTATTTTAAGTTGCATTGAAAAAACATTGAAAAAAAATTAAAAATATTAAAACAAGTTAAATACTTAATAGAACAGTAGCTCAATTTTGTGTGTGTTGTTTCAAATGCAAAATTCCAATTAAATTTTCTATAAAAGCCACTTAAGCTCTCAACTGAATTTGCCTAAAGCAGACTTGTTACAGCCAAGCCAAGTCAACCTAAGCCAAGCAGCCAAGCCAAACCAAGCCAAAACAGGAACAACCAAGCCGAGCTGCTTTGGAAAAACTCTGGTAAAAGTGATCATTAATTATGCGCCTATAATTTCTTTAGAATGTTGTATGCACAATTTTTCATTTTTTAGGATTAGAAATTCTTTATTAATTTTTTTCTTTTTCTCTAGATTTTGTGTTCTCATAATTTTTTACATTGCTACATTCTTGTTACGGGCGCACTCAAAGTAGGTAATAATATATGAGGCAAAAGAAATTGTCACTTGTACGGCTCGAATAAACCGCAGACTGCATATGAGCACGGAGCTGGACGACCGCTGCAGAAAAAAAGCGCAATAACAACTTAATTTTTCATTATGAAAATATGCACCTACGTGTATTGTTATTGGAGTCAATATATGTAATTATATTAGGAAACTGGGAAAATACTTAGACGTATATTCACGCAATAACAAAAACTGGTTCAATCTTTTTCCCGTGCGGTGCTAATGGTTTTTTCATAATTTTTCATAATGAAATAATCTTTAAGAAGGATGTCTTACTTATGTTCTAAAGAAAATGATGTATGAAGTTTGATAAGAATGTAATGCACTAAATATTTTTTACATGGTTTTAGCATTGTCCCACATGTATCAAATATTAGTAGCATTAGAGGTTTGACATGCCAAAGAGCAGTCCGATAGGCTACTAATAGAGTGCCTAAGTGGCTAATAAATGGTGCTTTCTTTTCTTTTAGATAGAGCTCAAATGGTGCATAAAGCGGATTGTCATTTTTGGTATGCGGTTTGAAGTTTTTTAAGTTTTCCTTGGGTTAGCAGTTTGTGATTATAACAGATGTAATTTTATATTAAAATTACTTTTAAAGTACTAGATAATTTTTATGATAAATTATGGAATCTTATAATTTTATACATTCCATATTAATAAGTATTTCAAAACTAAAATTAGAGAGATTTTGAAAAGTAGTGAACAGCAACAATAAAAATTAATTTTATATTATTTTAAGACGGCCAAAGCTGCAAGCTTTATATATATAATATAATTGTTATTAATTTTTATGTAATACAACAAATTTAAAATGAAGTAAAAATAAAGCTATTAACACTGATAATATTATTTTAAATAATTGATTTTTTGGCTAACCAAACAGCTGTTTCGAGTTTAGCCAAATACCCATCATCAATGGTGTTGGAATTATTTCTTGTAATTAATTTTTCGTAAATAATTTTTTAAGATTGCAAGTACCATAAGCTATATAGATTTATACTATCATATAATATTTCATAAAATTAATAAATGCTTTTTTATCTATGTGAGAACATTAGTGAGTAAATACCCGTACTATATATTTATCCCATTTCAATTTTGGAAGTAAATTTGTATTGGTTCTTACCCGTTCTATAAAAGGGTAAAAGGACCAAACCAAACAGTATTTTAAGGGATTAATAGAATATAGATAGATTCCAAAAACCACTTTATCTGCTTTTGCTTTGAAAAGAACTGAAAAAATGAGTGATACAGTCATCGCATAAAAATTAAGATGTGCTTAGAAACTCTAATAAAAGTGTTGTTCAAAATCAAGTTAGCAGACCTGAAAGGACGGAGGAATTTACTATTATGGCCCAGTGCGAGTTCGAGGTCAACTAAATTGAAATTTCCTAGGGATTTTTTGCACTGCATTTATTTACACTTTTTTATTGTACTTATTTGTTATTTTTCTGTTAAAAGGTTTCAAATTTATTTTTATTTATTAAATTTATATTTATTTATTAAACATCTTATAAAATTTAATAAATTAACTTTTATCTAATTTACCCTACTTGAAATTGTGATAAATACCATTTGCTGCCATATCGATATAATTTACTATTTCCCTCAATGTACCATCAATTGACTAGAATTCGCATACGGCCTATAAAGGTATTTTTTATCTCTTTATACTATATTTTCTAGAGTATTTCACTGTTTCTTTCATTCATGCTAAAGTTGCATTTGAATTGAGGTCTATTCAAACGATTTCTTCTGTATTTCCCTGACTCCGCTCGTATATATTCCTATGCAAGAATTTTCATTTTGCTCAGGTGCTGAATATTATAAACTTATTCTATCAATAATATAAGCTGCGAATTTTAATGATTTTTTGCTAAGAGGCTCTTAAAGCCTTAAGAGTTCCAAGAAATTTGCACTTTTAAAGATATTGCAAAGAGCATAAAGAGTTTCATATTCTTAGTGTTAAGCATTTATGATTCGAAATATATGTATAAGAATCGGATAGTCTATGTAAGACCTCAATAAAATTTAATTGAACTTACATTTTGATAAAGTGAACGGGAAGTACTCGCGTATTTTGTTAGTTATATTGCTGATCAGCAGATACCTTCAGATAATTATTCCCACTTTTAATACCAAATATCGTGAGAAACTTCTATG